CGATTGATCCCATCACTTGTGCGCATTTGTCTTCCGATGCTTCGAATCATGAACGGATGAGTTTACTTGCCAAGGGTTCACTAAGAGCATGGATTGAGTGGTAGTTGTTAGTGAACTTCTCTAGCAGATCATCACTCCCGGTAGAGATTGACATGTTGTCCAGCGCACGAAGAACTACGTCCATTATGTATTTCATTGTCCACCGGCTGTTATATCGAAATAAGTCTACAATGCTTATAGAGACAAAGGAACACACACTTACCTCCACTTATTAGATCTTTAGAACGTGCATACAGAATATGACCACAGGCAGCATGTAATCATTGAAACGCTCACAAGCACATCGTGCACGTGAAGTTTCAACAACATACATCATACCCTTGTCGTAGCACCGGATGTATTCCCTTGCTATACATTCGTGTCTCATAGAATTAACACGTTTATAATTTACAGCTAGAAGTTTAGCTGCAAAAGATGTGAAATCATTTAAAAGAGTTCGAAATGAGTTAGGAACCTGAAATTAATGATACATTTAACTATATTTCTCACCTCAAGAATTGGAAAACGTTGAAGATCCTTCACAGCGTCATATGGACGCAAACGTAGGTCAGTGTCTGTTTTGCTCCAAATTTTCCAGAACGTCAATAGCAGAGAATCACCTCTTCTGAGACATTCTTTTAGATGTTTATGAGCGCTTTCGACACGGTTGTTTGTGTGGTTGCCCAGGCTTAATACATGTCGCCGGTAACAACGAGCCCACATTGACTTCCGGGCAATCCAGTAATCTTTGATGTAATCATACGCCCGCGGGAAATGGATCCTCAGATGTTCTTACTTTTGAGTAATTCTGACTATAATGCGTTACGAAAAACGAAGCTCACATGTCATACCGTCTGGTCTTTACAAAGTGTTCCAAGCATTTACGTACATCAGGATTTCGGAACTACAGAAAACAATTTGTACAGCTAACACTTACCTTCATGAAAAATGCTCTCAAGACATGAAATGAACAAATTACTATGTCGGTATGACTGTGCGTAGACTGCTCTGCTGAAATTTTGGTCGCTGCCGAATCCATAACAAAAGTGCTTGTATCATAAGTACTGCACGTTATATCTTTAAAGCATTCCGATAGCTTTACGACATCTTCGCGTCGTTCTTGCCTGCAAAGAGCATACATAACAGTGTGCCCTTGCCCAAGACTATCAGTCACCACTAGCTGGAACAGTGGAAAATTTTAAGATAAATTAATTGCTATTCGTTACTTACCCAACTTTGTTGGTCGGATAAATCGAGTCAATACATATTACCTCTGGGAACGCGTGGTAAACAGCTATTTGCTCCCTGCGACTGAAGCAAATCATAGATATGTTCCCATATTCACTGAGTACTTTAACTTCAGTGCTTGCTTGAACGCGCAGTAAAATGTTATTGATATTTTTGGTGTCTAAGCTCATTAATTACAATGTGAGTTCAACAACTTGGGTACAACTGTGAACGCATTTTAGAGATATCTTCCTTGGTAAGCTGTATACGGAACTTCCAAGAAACCAGATGCCGTAAACTACGGGTCGGCGTATTGCTCATTAGAAACGTTCTTAAATATAGACGTTCAGTTGACGTCAACTTTCGTCTTGAAGGATCTACGGAAATATAACCTTCTGTGCAAGGATGGTTATGCACGGTCTTGGTAGAGGTGAATTTCAGCTCACCATGTACTGCACGGACCCAAAACCCATATTGACACTGGCAATATTTCGACCTGGAGGATAAATTAATTTGAAGCAAAGCATACGTAGATGACCGACATCGCCTTCCTTGTCTAGGTTGTGGGGGTGAGTTAGAAGTTGTATGCTCTTCAGAAGAATGATGATCAATATTATCATCTGCATCCTGAACGCAAGCATCTGACTCTGACGAACTGCGTTTATAAACGCAGTTCATACATATGGACGTATACGTCCATATGTACAGACATATCTCGCGAAAAAATACTTTAGAGTTGGGTCATTATTATTCTTATTACATACTGACATAACATAGTTAGTATGCGTATACTACAAAAATCATTATTAACCACAGAAGTCATATTACCTTATGTACTTTCAAACAGGTCTCAAAATTGTCACAACTTGTAAATCTCTGAGATAGTGTAATGTCATTGAAGATTCGTCCTATATCATGCATTATCACGATGGCATCATCTTCGTTACTTGAAGGATGGTGCGCCTGAACTCAATTCAAATCTAAAGGTGACTTGATTTGACCGCTCCTGAAAAACTTCACTCACTGCCGATATGACGCACCAATCATCTTGCGACCGTTTGACCTTCGAGTGCTCGCAACCTACATCAGTCCACGATACCCCTGAAGCGTTGCTTGTTTTGCAATGTCTTTACATATAACATCTGTATAATTGAACTGTGTCAACCCAGTCCAATGAAAACTGGTTTGAAGGTATATTTCGAAGTTTACCGATATGTCAATGTGGGACTTGTCTAGGCTGGTTAACAGTTGCAAATGATGAGTCGCATGACTTATTCACTCGTGATCTGGTACGGATGCGTGACCGAGTACCCCTGGCCAGGTTTTTCCATGAAACCATTGTGAGGTGGTGAGTATTTGTAACTCGGGTGGGTGATTTTGATTGAGTCCTATTCTCTGACCTGGATGGTTAGGTCGTGGAGCTTTCATCGTTATTCTGAACAACATCACACAAACATCTACCCAACGTTTGTGGCGGTCACCATCAAATGTCGAAGACTTACGGAATTATCTATTTACCGCTACGGCTCATCTCCCTAGTCGGGCAGTGATGAATCTAATTTGTGGTCAGTCAGCAGTTTAAACCTGACGTGGTTGTCGTTGGTAAATCTTTTGATAACTTGTTGTGTTCAACAGCATCTGGTCGTTTTTCTATTATATAAGGGGTCAAGTGGTACATAGTCTCAATAAAAAACTACAATATAAATATGCAAAAAAAGTATAAGTATGGTTGTCAAATAGCAGGGTACAATCATTCGAATTACAAAGAAAATAAAGATATTGAACGCTCAATAATAAAATGAGTTCTTTCGTTTATCGGCTACAGAGAGTTGCAGAAATGTTACCTGTGCTTGCTCGAGTGCTGTTATCCAATTTTTTTTAACCACGTCTACAATGGTCAACAGTAGAAAAGAGGTGACTTCTATGTCCTTTATTTTCGGAAGTTTGGCTCTATATAAAACTTGGTCAAACACCAAAACTTAGAATTATAAATCTTACGCGTTTGATCTTGGTAAGTGTTTGTGAATTTTGACTCCGTACGTTGAGATATAGCCGCTGTTTCCGTGTGGAAAGTTCCCGAAATCTGTGTAACGGATGTCTTTTCTCCGTTCTTATCAGCTCTCTGATTTTAATACACTTGTGAAAAGACAATAACAGAAACAAACTAAGTAAGACATGACAGAGCCCAATGGTGGTATATAGTATATTAGTTAATCAGATGTACTGAGAAATCTGGATCTTCGTCACAATGATCAACTATAGTTTCGTACATGTAAGTTGATTAGAGTCTTCATCGCTTGTCATCACTGAACCCTAAACAGATGCAAATATTACTCTTTGCAAGTGCATTGGAGAAACTTCTGACGTTCATATAAGGCCAGCTCATAGATTATTCTTAGATTTAACGATCTATGTATAGAATGTCAACGTGAATATACGTCGGACACTACAGAATGTACCAATTCTGATTTCAAAGTTTCCAATAACTTTTAGGCTGAATAACAACAAAGAAAAAGATGATCAGAAGGAAAAGACATTTGTGTGAAGACTTAGGTTGGTGAACGTGAGATTTTTGAACTATTTATCTAATATATGGAAAAGGCTTCTCATTCAGTTTTGTCCAGGTTTAGTATTGACGCTTGTCTTTCGGCTGTCAGCTAGTAGTGTCAACTAAAACCAACAAGGTTAGCATCAGTCTCAAACAATGGTCGCAAAACTGTTTATTTTGGGACGTTTTTACCATTATATACGCAAACAGCAGTTATTCGCTGTTAATTATAAACAATTTAAGTGATTCAACTCCCACTGAATTCACAGGCAACAATATATTTGAACTGATATACGTATGAAACGTTGGCACATGCAGTTGCAGTTACATCTTGAGTCCAAAAGTGCTACAGATATTTAGAACTTTACAATGCTTTTGCCCGTAAAACCCTTTTGATTGGAGGATATTAAACAGGTCAAATCAGAAGCTGTAAGTAAAGGAGTTAGAAGATATATTTAGGAAGTTATTGATATATCTTGAGTTGCGTTTAATTGCAGCCTATCTTGAAACATTTGGTCTAAGCTATGTAGTATGAGGGCATAACATGAAGTTTATACCCGTGGTCTGTTACAGATGCGTGAACGAGAAACTTCTGACAGGATGTATCCAGTAAGTCTATTGTGATCGGCATTAATGCAGACTTATGTAAATGTTTATTTTGGCGATTTATTTGCTGTTACACATTCTAAACACATATAATTTATTTTTCTGAGTGTTATTTAGTGCTTACAATGCAAATACATCAAGGCGATTAAAAGAGCCGTGAGCAGCGTTTTTGCTTCGTGTTATACCTCAAGACCCAAACTACATAAATTTCAGAATGTCGGTGAATAAGTATAACATTTTGAAATATGAAACACAACCTAATTCGAAAACCTACACTACCAGCCTTTGGCTATGACCACTGTATTATCCTTATTTTACCTATGTATCAATGCTCATCGCTTTGAACCGCCTGCCTTTCTGAACAGAAGTGCATTCTAAGGGCCTACTAAGTTACGGTTCACTTTTTCTCATCTAGATTCTAACATACGTTACTTTAGACACTTCCATAGAATACAACGTACGTTAGGAATAGACAAAAACATACAAAAAGTCGAAATTCAGGTCAAACTTGTAGAGAAATGTGAATTTATTTGTGTAAATTTCAAGCACTTAATTACGAATATTTGACCTTGAAGGTCAAGGCGCCATTATTAGGTTCACAGGATGACTCGGGGGTCCCCACATCGATCGCACAAGAAACATCGTCACAAGAATCGTGATAGGTCTCGTTCTCCTCTGGACCAGAATTCCGATAGGATTGCTACCAGGCGAGATGATCAATCACCTAGTGATAGTAAGTAAACTTGTGTAACCTATTATAACATGCTTAGTTGGAGGCACTGGTGTTGATATTTCTCTCTCAATTGCGGAAACAAAGTAAATATATGGTAAAGTATTATATATTTTTCCAGTGCTTTGCGGGCTAAGTTGGGTCTTGCCCCTCTGGATGCTGATGATACTCCAAAATCAGAACGAGCAGTAGATAACCAAGCCGATTGCTACGTCCATGCACCAGCTAAAGATATAAGAAAAATAAGGGAATCAGAAGCAATCAAAGAAAAGCTTAGTGTCCTAAAAGAGAAAAGGTCACTGTTAGATAAAATTGGGCAGGAAAAATTGTCTACGCCTTCTGCGTGTGAATCGGATGTTCAATCATGGGTTGAGAAAATGCGTGAGAAAGAACGAATTCAGAAACAAGCCGAAGAAAGAGTAAGTCATGTGAAAGCTTTGCTCATTTTGATCACTTCTCTAGGCAAAGCTGCTGTCTGAGATTGACGATCAGTTAGCTGTTTCTGAGTTTGTAGAGTCAAGGTTGATTCAAAATGATAAAAAGTACAAACCCAATGATTTGGCCGGTCTTCGCGTTGAACACAGTTCGTCCCGTTTCGTTGACGGTCAATCAGTTATCTTGACGATTAAAGACTCAGGTTCGCTTGAAAATGTTCTAGTTCCTAAATTCTTACATGTAAATTTTTTTGGCTCACATGTATTTATTTGTATCATTTCAATTGGAATTCAGATACCCGATGTATATATTAAGTCAATTTGACATTTAGTTATTGGCTTGTCATTACTGCTTGTCTCATTTTGCACCAAAATTCAAGATCTGTTATCGTAAATCTGATTGGTTTGTCCATAAATTATAGTTTCTCCACATTTTCACTGAACTTGTTAGACAACTCGTCTATTCGGTCCATCTGGTGCTACTAATAGTACCACCCTAGAAATAGCTTTCTTGTTCCCTTTTCATGTCTGATGTTAACCGCTTATCCAGGCTTGTAAGATTTTGACCCCACGAGAAATAACTAAACGAAAATCGTCACTCCAAACTAACTTTCAATGTAATTTATTTTATTTCTGAAGTACATATAGAAGATAGATGCAGTCATCTTGACTTGTTCTATGTAATTTATCCGTGTTAGCAATTTTTTGTTCATCAATAGTTTCAGGCTAAAAACGGGAGGGGGTTTCCGGCTTCTTTGCTTAGCTTTATTATAGACCTACTTTACGGCTGGGAAACGTAACCATTGAGAGTATAAGATACTCGTAAGCTACTAGTATTTGACCACATATGCTTTAGAAGTATTGCTCGCATCTGCTGGGATCACCGGGTAAGTAATAGGGAGGTTAGACGCAGAGTATTAGAGAATGATGGTAAATCAGTTAATGAGGTTGTGAGTCTTCATAGACTGATATGGTTGGGTCACGTGTTACGTATGCTTGAACACCGATTACCACGGCGCGCGACGCTGACTGGTGTTAGAAACATCTGGAAGGAAGTTAGGGGCGGCCAAACCAAAACGTGGCATCAGTGCTTGCAGTCAATAACTTCTAGTCTGAGCCATATTGGTAGATGCAGACTACTTGGTTGGGTTTCGCGTGACTGTCGTAACCAATGGTTAGAGACTGTGGGTGACGTGGCTCAGAATCGATCACAATGGCGTCGGTGTATACACTCACTGCCTTCCCTTATACCGTGAGATTAAAATCGCTCCCTATCTTTTTTTCTGTACTATATCCTCATATGCAATCTTTCTTTAATATATTACTACCATTGAATTAGATACTTATATGAATCCGGTGTTCATCTTGCTGTGCTAATGAGGTGTGGCAACTTGGACTGATGCACATATGTGCCTGGTCCTACGTTGTAAATGACTGACTGATTTGCCCCCAAATGCCCTGGTACGGCCGAGAGTGGGGAGAGTCCGCTCTCCCTCTCGAAATGCTCTCACGTGGCCATGCGTATATAGCCTCTGCCAGGGAAGTCCTACTCACTGCCTTCTCGTGGCGGGGGTGTTGTTTACGAAAATGAGAGGACGAAAAGCGAATGTCTGGCGCTTTAACCGGATCCCAAACCAATGGTGCACATGGGCTCCAGTATCCTGAAGGAACAAATGGCGTATGAGCCAATCGTTAGTCACCGGCTACCATGGGACTGCATCTCCTCACGATGCTCCACTGCCTTGTGGGTCAGACGTTCAGGTCAAAGGCTCGGGATGTGGCCCCCTAAGAAAACCACCTGCTTCGGACTGGGCACCCGAGCAGTATCACAGTCCTCACACAAATCAATTGAGATTCGTGTGGCGCATATGTACTTGGTGCCTCCCTGTACCTATACTTATGTGTTAAAATAAAAAAAATCAATTGAGACTGATTTATGTACATTTTGACCAAAAAGTTGCTTACAAATTCGGTTTATTTATTCGAGCGTATAAGCGATGTTAGAAACATTAACGGTCGAACTAAGATTTCAGGAAGCTAGCGAGTCTTTGAAGTACTGAGTGCTTATTCGCACAAAAATATTCATATGACCTTACCAAAGCAGAAACATTTTAAATATATATATCGACGGATATTCATTTATGGTAAGTGTTGGTTTGAAGAGAAATGATTTATTGACATCCCCAACTTTATTTCAGTTTAATTAGTATCGTGTATTACTGTAAGTAATGACATCATGCCTAACGCATGACTAATGTATCCTAGTAACTATATGCATATAACACTGTTAACTAGTTCGCCTCATCTAGAACATATTGTATAACTTCTCGACTGCTCTCTTGGTGGTTCCGGTACATGATTCAAAGACACTATAGACCGAATCTTGGATGATTTTGAAGAGCTTTTTGAATATGTAGTTTGATACACCACCTGTGGTAAGTATATTTAACGAAAACTTGTGTTCCACTTTGTTTTATTGCTGATATACTTTTTACTGCATTTTTTTCAGTCTTAATCAACTTCAGATAAGTTGTGATTCAGATTAGTGCCACAAGTGACTTCTGTTTATTTTATTTACCATCCTGGAGTTCCATAATAGTTTACTTTGTATTGATCAATGTTAGTATTTCGCAAATATTTGAAATCTATGCTATATTGCGGGCGTAGAATAATTTACTAACTTCTGTCGTGTTTTTCTTGGAGAATGAGTACCATGTAAAAGATATTCATTATAGACCACCGCAATTTGACTTCATTGTATTGGTGAACTGAAGGTTCTGAATTTATCTTTACTGGGAGTCATTCGAAATCTGTTTCAATCCCCTTAAGTGTCAACCTCGCTGTTTCATTATTTTAATCAACAGTGTAGTGATCATAGATTGAAGATTGCAATTTTCACCTTTTAATTTAGGTGTTTTGGATGAATCTGAAGATGTTTTGGTGAATGTAAATATAATTGATGATGAAAAAGCTGATATCAATAGAGAAAATATAAGAAAGACTGCCGGTCTGGCAGGAATCGAAGACGAAGTGGATGAGGATGTACTTCTTGGTTTACGCTCTAAAACTGTTCTAAGCAAGTATGATTCAGAGATTAATGGCATTAAGAAAGACCACTTTGTTATTAATTCTGATGGCTCTTATAATACAGAGAATGAACGTTTATTGAAACAACTACAAGCTGAACTGAAAGAAGGACGAGTAAGTATATATTCAAGATTCATGTACATACTGACAGATTTTTCTCATGTTTAACGCATTGTTGGTTTGTTTGGATGCATCACCAACTTATGTTAAATGTTTCATTGTTTGTTAGTAAATCATTTAACTCCCATTTCAGCAATCGTTGCCTGATACTGAGCTTCGTATAGCTTCTGAGTACTACAGTACGGAAGAAATGGCTGCCAAATTTAAAAAGCGTAAACGTCGTACCAAAACTATTCGTCAAGCACTGACTGCTGATGAACTTTTGAGTGAATTGCCAGAACAATCAGGCTCTTCTGATTTAGGAAGCCGTTCAACAGTTAGAGAAAAACGCTTAAATAGTAACATCCCATCTGCAAATGACACGATTTCTCCTGAAGAATTTTCTGCACAAATAATAGATGTCAAAGGTATTATATGTTTTGCTGTTTTGTTACCTTAATAGTTTATTAAGTACATTTAAATAACATTTCATACTAAATGTTACTTTTTAACTTATGAATTTTAGTACCGTTATGATTTTGGATCGATTTAACTAACTGAAAAATCTAAAGGCTACACCTCGTAACATAAATAGTCAAAATACAAACATTTATAACATTCAATAGCCTGTAATGTCTCATACAAATTAGACTAAAAATCGAAACGACTATTACCATGCAACTGTAACTGCGAAACCAACACTGTTATTTCACAACTATGTACTGAAAATATCCCTACACTTAGGATTGTATCATTACCTTAAATCGAAACAACTTTTATAGCAAAGTATTATTTAACAATTCCAAATCCTAACACATCATTCATTTAGTAGACTTTTGAGCAAGTGATTCTACAGTGATAAAAATCTAAGTCTCCACTTATAGAAGGGCTAGGCTGATAGCTGTTTATGTAAAAAGTTGTTATTGTTCCTTGCTCTAACCTTTTTATCTTCTATGTCAGCAAGTGCGTGACGGATTCGGTTTTCAAGGAGTCGAAACAGTTGAGTTATACGAAGTTTGATTACACAAGCGTGAAAAGTAACATAACCCAGTGGTATGGCAGTGATGCGTATTATAAATACTAACAGCTTCTCTTTTATACAAAAAAACTAAAATTGTAGAATAATAACCGTTGTGAGGAAAAATCCCACATCATACACTAATATGTCGTTTACATACATATATAATGGTCGAACGAAGTGATTCCAAAAAAGCACTGAGGAAAAAACCGAAACCTGTGTAAGTAACTTAAAAGTTTGATAGAGGTTATTATTTTCAAATAATTTTTATCGTTTTGGAAGTGGATGAGTTAGCTATTTGTCAACTTGCAAACTCATGTTGGTACTACGCAAATGAAATTATATATGTATAATGACATTATGATGCTAGGTTTCAAGTTGTCACAATATAAACTACAGAAGACTTGTTGATCGTTTTAAAATAATCGGTTATTTCAAATGTATGTTTCGTAATTTCTTTTTCTCCTATACTCAGATAGTTATGAGGAATATTGGTCTGCAGCAGATCATATCGATGAACCAGATGAGTTGAGAAGTGAATTAGAGAAAACTATAGAGCGAGTGGTGCAATCGAAGTCACGGGTTGTTACTAAACCGGAAGAAGTACGTCAATTTGTTTATGACAGCATTTTTGTGAAATTTAAAGATTGTATAATATTAAAATGAATAAATGGGACTTAAGAAATTAGGCAAAATATAAGCTACTAGTGTCCAAACTTATGCTAAGTGTACTGACTTTTAAAGTGTTTCTGAATTACAACACGGTTGAAAATCAGTGTGATCATGGGTAAACACGATTGATATGATCCATTGTTAAGCTATGACATCACTCGAATAATTTCTATGCCTATTTAAAAGTCATTTTTAACTATTACTTCATATAAACTGAGATAAGATTAATTCTCTTCTCACTATACTTTTTGCATTCAAAAGATTACATCACAACTCTTAGCAAAAAATATAGCTACTCATTCATCCGAATCCGTGTCACAGTCACTTGCGTCTGATACATCGACAAATAATAGCAAAAAAGACAATGTTGTGTTCGACTCTACTGCAGAATTTTATAAGTCAATTGGTATTGGTTTTCAAGAAAGTATGAAGAAAAATACTCGTTACAATCAGTTCTTACAAAATCAATCTAGATTACAGAATAATGGCGGAGCAGTTGGTACTAATGATGATAATACGAGTTCATCACCTACAAGATTGCCGTATAAAGAGGAAGAAGAAGAAGAACGAAAGCTTGATTATGATTCAGAAGGTAGTTATCGCATGAAAAGTGAAGATTATGACGATACAAAGTTGGAAGCATCAAGTGAGTTTCTATTTTCCACTGTACTGTATCATTATATGCAATATTTTATATGTTACCACCATTGACTTAACCACTCCTATGAATCTGGTGTTCATTTTGCTGTCCTAATGCGGTATGGTAACTTGGACTGATGCAGATATATGCCTAGTCCTGCGTTGTAGCTGATTGACTGATTTTCCACTTCATTTATGAATGTTTATTTTTTAAAAATATTAAGAAAAAATTTACGTACCAGGCATTGGAAAAGAAGTGTGATCATTAAATAAAACACTAGAGGGTAGACTACAGTTGGTTTCTTTTGGAGATAACGCTACCGTCATCTTAATTTTCAGAAAACACTCCTATGTCAAGAGATTTACTTGTTAACTCAAGATATCCGGATAACCTGGTTCTATGTGGTAAAGATACCGACAAAATAGTTTTTGATGGCCTTGGGTGATGTTTGAAGTGCGATTTCCACTCTCTAACTTCTAAATAGTGCCTCAGGACTAATCTGCGTCGGCCCTGGGCTAATGATAGCGAATGAAGTAGTTGAGTGCATCGACCACTTCACTTGTCTTGGGAGTGTGATCAGCCCTGGTGAGTTGGTGTCTAACATAGATATTGATACAAAGAGGCACCAAATATATATGTGCCACACAAATCTCATTTGATATGTGTGAGGGCTGTAATACTGCTCGGGTGCCCAGTCCGAAGCAGGTGGTTTTCTTAGGGGGCCACATCCCGAGCCTTTGACCTGAACGTCTGACCCACAAGGCAGTGGAGCATCGTGAGGAGATGCAGTCCCATGGTAGCCGGTGACTAACGATTGGCTCATACGCCATTTGTTCCTTCAGGATACTGGAGCCCATGTGCACCATTGGTTTGGGATCCGGTTAAAGCGCCAGACATTCGCTTTTCATCCTCTCATCTTTGTAAACAACACCTTTGCTGCGAGAAGGCAGAGAGTAGGACTTCCCTGGCAGAGGCTGTATACGCGTGGCTATGTGAGAGCATTTCGAGAGGGAGGGCGAGCCCATCCCACTCTCAGCCATACCAGGGCATTTGGGGGCGTTGGTGTCTAACGGAACGTATGGACGCAGAAAACTCGTATAATTTTTGCCAACTTGTGTCACTTGTGGTTTAGGTTAGGTATCAGCCTACCAGCTTCATTAGTTCACTCTCTTCTGCCTTATAGTAATGAAGTGTGGCCTTTAAAAATACAGGATATTCGTAGTTCACTAGTATTCGAATCATTGCTCATGTATGTTGAGACCACTGACTGCGCGATGTTGAGTTGAAGCAGGGTACTAGGTAAGGGTAGCATATCGTTTGACAAGGCACTGTATATCCATCGATTACAGTAATTGGAATACATATTACCTATACCCTGCAACCACCTACCTCGGTACGCGATATTATTTGATGTAGGAGTAGGCTGTAAGAAAGCTAGGGGTGGCCAAACCAACATGTGACGTAAGTCCATTAAGCTATTGACTATTTGATGTGTAGATAAGTTCAGACTACCTGTTTTGGGTCAGCGCGATTGTTGTAACAATTGGTTAGAGACTTTGGATGAAATGGCTTAATCGTTTGCAAGGGTGCAGATACATCCACTCTTTTTTTCTATCAATCGTTAATTCCAGTTCCTCTTCATAATATACCTTGCTACTCTGTCCTTTCGAACTCTCTCCTTAACACTTAGTTTTTCTCAATATCATTGCTGCTATATCACTTCTTTCTATTTTTCTATCTAATAAGTTTCATTCCGATGTTCTAATCCGTTGTGATAACTTGTACTGACTCACATATGTGCCAGGTTCCATGTTCTAAATAACTGATTGACAGTTTATTTCTCTCTGTGGTGTTGCTTTTATGTTGTCGTTTAGTATTTTTTCCTTAAGTAGCGATCACTGAAGTTAACTATGTGTATAGAGACGGGAATAGCAAATTTATTTCCTTTATTTCCAGACGATCGATGGCATACTGTCGGTAATGATATTCTTGGGAATTCAACTCGAACTGTACCGAAACCAACAGTCAAAAAATCTGGACAGGAACATTTTAAAGTAGAAAATACTGATATACATGGAGTTTTAGATGATGAACCACGTCTGGATTCAGGAGTATTTTCAGCCATTCGGTTGGCTGAGAAAAAAGGTTATATTGATAAAGAAAAAGAGAAACGAGTGAGTTAACTTCTTACACTTTAATCGATGCGAATTCCTCTTCAATTTTTAAGCATAGTATTATATTTTCAACAGTGTTCAACTCTCTATTTGCTGTTTAAGCTAACAATTTATATTATCTGTATGTATTCCATCTATCCTTGTTTTTCTAGACTGGTTCAGGAACTATGGTCAATCTAATGGCTAAACACTTTGTCCAAGAAGATATACGCTATGATGATATTGATGCGAAATTTTACAAACGTGATCGTTACTCTGGTCCATTATCAGATTTTAAAGAGTTAACGCAATATAAACCGGATATTAAATTAGAATACGTTGATGAGCTAGGACGCGATTTAAGTGCTAAAGAAGCTTTTCGTCAATTAAGTCATAAATTTCATGGAAAGGGTTCCGGTAAGAATAAAACACAGAAACGTATGAAAAAAATCAACGAAGAGTTTGTGAGTTTATGGATTAACTATTAATTTTAACGTGTTTACCAATTACAGGTTTTTTTACTATTTGATTTAAAGCGATGTTTTTTGCATCAAGACCGTTAATACTATTTGATATGTGTGAGGGCTGTAATACTGCTCGGGTGCCCAGTCCGAAGCAGGTGGTTTTCTTAGGGGGCCACATCCCCAAATGCCCTGGTACGGCCGAGAGTGGGGAGAGTCCGCTCTCCCTCTCGAAATGCTCTCACGTGGCCATGCGTATATAGCCTCTGCCAGGGAAGTCCTACTCACTGCCTTCTCGTGGCGGGGGTGTTGTTTACGAAAATGAGAGGACGAAAAGCGAATGTCTGGCGCTTTAACCGGATCCCAAACCAATGGTGCACATGGGCTCCAGTATCCTGAAGGAACAAATGGCGTATGAACCAATCGTTGGTCACCGGCTACCATGGGACTGCATCTCCTCACGATGCTCCACTGCCTTGTGGGTCAGACGTTCAGGTCAAAGGCTCGGGATGTGGCCCCCTAAGAAAACCACCTGCTTCGGACTGGGCACCCGAGCAGTATCACAGTCCTCACACAAATCAATTGAGATTCGTGTGGTGCATATGTATTTGGTGCCTTCCTGTACCTATACTTTTGTGTTAAAATAAATAAATAAATAAATTTGACTCATCAAACTGAGCTAGACAGATTTGTATCTGTTGCTTGCAAGACTAGTACTTCTAGAATAAATTGATTGCAAATATCGTTTATAGGACCAATAAGTCAGAACGAGTAGAACATTTTGTGATTATTCATCGATGTTCGTATATATATGTTTGGGCGGGGATCGTCCTCATATTTTCACACCTAAGTAAGTGATTTCATCAGTGGATCGTTCCATGAGCCTATGACTTAAAAGTCTAATTTAGAAGATCAGTGTTCGAAACGTCAATAATTCACTGCTTCACTTTTTCTTATAAACTTACAATCGTATGTTAAAATAATCCAACCTAATTATTCATTTTATTTTTCATTCAGTTTCATATTCTAGTTTATATCAACCCACTTTTAGTTTTATTCTAAATAAAATTTCGTAATATTGCTCGTAACTTGATATAAAATTGGTAGTACTCGATTACATTTGTATTCCTATCATTAAATATGCATGGTTTAACCGCGGCGTTGGTGTGACCTATTAGATACTAGGTAGAGATAGTAAATCGGTTAATAATATTATGGACTTTCGTCCACTGATTTGGTTTCAAACAGGTTTTTACACTCAGCCACTAAATGCATGATAATACATTGGTTGAAGACTATGTGTGACAAAAAAGACATGGTATCAGCATTTAAAGTTATGGGCTCTTGGATGTGCGACATTCAGTTGAGTCATATGCTCTTCATCCTGTTAATTTCATGTCCGACTGTGCTGATGTAAGACATGGCAATTTTTGTCGAGGTATAGTTATTTCAGGTTCTTATTTGTTTATAACTGGTTAGATATCTAACTGACTGTTGTGAGTGAATTTCACAGCAACATATTCTTCGGAACTAAGCACACTGCCTAAAAATACAAACACCTAAGAAATTTTAAGGAAAATAGTTTTGATCTATCGTCATGTTCTGTAATGCTGGTAGATGAAAGCGGTAGTGAGACCAAATTTAAAAAAATGTGTGTTGTGTGTTTGAACACTGAAGTGCATAAGATGTTGATGGTTGATGTTCAACGGAATTACATAAAGAAGAAATAAATATTCCAATTTGTCCAACTGCTATTTTGTTTTTAGTATTTCAACTTACGGAATTAAGTTGTACTTGCTGACGAACCTATTTCCAGATTCAAGTTTTAGTAAAAGTCCCTTATGCGTTGCTCCTTACCAAAAATTTAAAATTTACGTCATTTAAATTTGCAGGTTGGTTAAGTGCAAATTTATAAGGCGAATCAAATATTAAAATAGTTGAGATATAATGATATTTTACGACATACGTGTTTCTTCATTACATAACTACACTAAAGACACCCAGTGATCCCTGGAGATTAAGAAAGAGATTTACAGGAGACTTTATAATGTTTCTAGAAAAGGTCATTATACAAACGGTTTTACTGCTTTTGTACTGTTTTTATAACCTTGGAATACAGGTATAAAATTAATTGTTGAATATAAAACTTGTTCTCAAATAGTCAAACGATGAAAAATCCAGAAACAAGTTAGATTAGTGCTTCCCCGAATACTAAAAGATTTTATCCGAGGGGGTAATATGTCAACTGACAACACATTAATCATAATATGATCGTTTAAGTTCACTCATACAACTGTACAGTCTGAGGCACGAATCATAGCACTGCTCTCAACTTTGTAGTAGTCTTAGATTTCAATAGAGTTCCGTAACATAGTGTTAATTGTTATAGTAAAGGTGTAAACCATCCACTTCACTTAAAATATAAAATAGTCAGAAATGCTTAAATTTCTTATCATTTTATACTAAAAACCGTAAAAAGTCATTAGCTATCAAGGACAGGAGTTTTGTAAACATTAAGACTAGAGAAGTGACTACTTTTCCGCAAAGTCTACCTCTTCGAAGAAAAGCTGTTCAAAACAGGGATGTTTACAAAGATAATTTCAAATTCAACAACCATTATGTGGTGACGAGGGACTAAATTCAAGAGGTAATTCTTAGAGTTTTATTAAGAAACATTTAGCATTGGATTTCAACCATGCCGGCCATCAGTCAAATATTACTAATGGCAATGGATAATGAGTGGTGCAATAATTACATATAATTGGATGCCAGCTTAGTTTTCTAAAGTTTGAACGCTTGTCAAAAGGCTTGGAGGCCTTTAGTTCGACCCTTGGTGTAGTGGCAGATGGATACTTCAGAGTAGTTACATATTAGGACGAAATAACAGTTCAGTGCTTCGTGGTTTTAATGGATATCTAAATAGATTTAGCCTGTGATATAAAACTTCAAGTAATAGATTTTATTTTATCTCACTGTTTAAAATGTTGAGGTTTTTTAAATTCTTTTGAGTCATTATGAAGTGATATATTTTGTTATATCTCTCTGTGCTACAGCTTAAGAGGAACTCTAGTATCGAATTGATTGATTTTTTAATCCAAGTTCGTATTTTCCTGAATATCATTTCAAGTATATGTACTTAGTTTTTGTTTTACGAAGTAACATTTCGTCTTTCAATTTGTTTTCACTATTTTTTTTAAAAAATAGTAAAATATTTTCTTTCTATTGTGGATATAGCTTCTTAAAGCCAGCACCAGTTCAGATACTCCATTGGGAACAGTGAACAAATTGAATAAAAAACTAGAAGCGATGTCAATGCCTTATGTAATTTTAAGTGGAAAAAATGCAGCTGTGTAAGTTAATTCATGTTAGGATGTGTGTTTTCATTGCATTTTTAGTGGGATCTTAATTTTTATTTCAGTCACTGCCAAGTTTTCTCTTAATCTTTCATGAAGATTCATTTTTAGTTTGATTAATTACTTTAATGATGGTGGTATAGTGAACGACAACACAAACGGGGACAACCATATGGATTTGAACACAAAATTACAGAACGTCTTAGTAAAATCTGAGAACCACACAGTAAATACTTGATTCGCAAAATGTCAATCGATCGGCTCAGACTTCACTGTTCCTTCATTTCCACAGCAATCATTCTTCGTTCTCGTTCTCTTTTCCTCGATCTTCTTAACCATCTGCTGCCAGGCATTGCACTTTCGACTGATGATACATACTACTTGTCTGTTGACATCAGTAGCACACATCACAATGGTACTGTCTCGTCCGAATTAAATAACCCTGACCTACTTACCGGATATATTTGGTGACTTCAAAATATCATGAATGTAAATACAATGTAACTAAAATTATATGTATAAGCTGTTTTTCACGTAAGAGAACAGATAAATGAACAATGAAACTACAAGTCGTAAATTGAAAGACCAGTTGTTTTTCACTTTCTCCAACTATAACTAAACCTTATATTTCAAAAGAATGATACCTCATCAAGAAGCCAAAGAAAGGTGATCAGTACCAGTTAAAGTTTGAAACAGGGTGGTGTTGAACTGGATGGAAGATTCAATAGATACCCAACTTCGAAATCAACAGGCTTGTTTCCGTAAGGATCGATCGTGCACAGACCAAATCGCGATAATACATATTATTCTTAAACAGTTAATTGGGTGGAACTCATCACCATACATCAACTTCCTTGACTACATGAAATAATTTGACAACGTGGATAGGAGAACCTTATAGATCCTCCTTCAGCATTATAGTGCACTGAAAAAGTTGGAAATTTTCACGTGCCTGGACAGTATCATCGATAAACAAGAGGGTTCTAAAGTAGATGTGAAGACACGGATTGACAAAGCGATGACAGTACTTCTGCAAGTGAATAACATATGGGACTTAAGACAACTGTCAGATAACATCATAGTCAGAATTTTAAACACTAACGTTTAAACAGCTCTATTGTATGGAGTTGAAACCTCAAGCATAACGACAACTACTATCAAACAGCTATCTACGCAAGATAATCCAGACCTATTAATCGTATGCCATCAGAAACAACCTACTATAGAAGAGAACAAACCAACTTGCGTCTGAAGAGGACATTAGGAAAAGACGTTACAGATGGATAGGACACATTACGAAAACCATCAAACTGCATCACTAGGCAAGACCTAACTTGGAATCCTCCAGCCGAAAAAGAGGTAAACTAAAGGATAAATGGGGACGGGAATTGAGGCCAGATATTAAAAAAAAAGAACAGCACTTGACATCTGGAAGAAGAGCTTAGGACAAAATTGGTTAGAGAATCCTGATGAATGTCCTGTGCTCCTTTAGTACTACATACAAAGTAATGAGACTGTCAATAAACAATTAATGGTCAGGAGAGACCAAATAAAAAGTAACGACTTCAATATTGGTCGATTGGGTTGTGATTACATCAATCAGTAAAATTAAACATAGGAGTTCTGTGGTAAAATAATAGTTACTCATGAGTAATATTTTTTTCTTGAAAAAACAATTTGGCAATTTTCTTATTAATCAGTTGTGAATTCAACAGATACAATTTTATTTATCTATACACTTTAGTAGATTATCATACGTAGTCACGTTTGTAAACTGCTTGGAAAGTGACTGCATTTTTTTACCTACATTTATATTTTGTTATTATTTTGTGACTTTATGTATCTACTCCCATACATCATGTTTAATGGATGTACTGTTTGAAATGTAGTCTTTTCGTAAAGGAATGTAATCATTAAGTTTCTTTAACTTAATAAGGTATCATTTTCGGTCGAATTGAAAGTTACACATTAACTTTTGTCATTATTTTTTAAGGTTTGTAACTTTCTGTTTTTGATCTTAAGGATTGCAATTGATCAATCTCTATTGGTCTATTCAGACCTTGAATAATTTGCCTTAATATTATCATTTAATCTCAAATATTTTCGTTAATTGCCAAATAGCATGAAACCTAGGTCCATGGTTTCTTATCGATTACTTCTACTTCTGTCATTCAGCATGAGTTATACTTGACTAAGTTGTTAGTAGCTCTTGAGTCGTAATCGATGTTCAAGGTTTCTATTTCAACTAAGTAATACCAACTGAATATTAAAATTTTCAAACGAGTAGATATTCTTAGTCGTATAATTCGTTTGATAACTTTTGTCATACAGATTCTATTCCACCTGTTTATATGATAATAATCTAGTTTGGATAATTCGACTTTTTTGTAAATGATTGAGTTTAGATTCACTCGAATTAAAAGTGCAAGACATCCATTTAAATCTTATGAACATTTAATTCATTTTTGTAACTTGCTTTCAACTACTTATATCAATCAGTAGTATCTTTTTATATACGTTTCAAATTGAATTATATTTACTTTATTATAGAAAGAAGCTGACGAAATAATTAAAAGTAATAATAAACAGCAATTTGGAGGTCATATTCCATAGTTGATATCACTTTTGTTACGTGGCATCGATACACTTGTTCATTTGTAATACGAATCCCCCACTAACCATTATTTTCTCACTTGTTTTCTGGATTGTTATTTCTTGTGTACAGATATAATCAATTTTAAAATAAAAACGCTGACCTTATTTGTTTTATTAATCTGCCTTTAATATTTTTGCAATATTGCTAAATTGTCTTGATGGTTCACATGTAACATCAATGAAGTACATGTGTCAAGATGAAATTTTCTTTATTCGTCGTTTGTGACATACGTTAACATTTTTGTCGTGAATGAATGGTTAGGTTTGCAAACACTGAATAGAAAAAGCTCAGGCCTCGTCGATAATGTTTTGGTCATATATTATAATAATTCTTCCCTTAACATAGTTAGGTCAATATCCAAAAATGTGTTTTCCTTGAAGTAGAAAACCTATTTATTTAAAAGATCTGTCCATTTCTCCATTTTTACTCGAAATTCCACTGAGTATATTTTTAGAGGTAACTCTTTATTCGTCTGGATTCGCAGGGGTTGATCATATTATGTATGATAACTTAAACTACTTTGTGTTCAGTTGTATTTAGTTTAAAACGTTTCCTTCAGGTATTTGAGACATATTTACAAACCGTCATGGGCAACAAAAATCATTTTGATATAATGACGAGCAAAATATTTAAATGTATTTCAAAGGGTTTATCTCTCGTGACATACCAAATCGTCTAAGTGACCTTTTCATCATAGGATTTCAACCGTTTGATACCGACGGATTCCTGAGAATATGGAAAGGTATCATGCTTGTTACTAAATTAAGGAATCTGTTTTAGTCACTTTATTGCCATTATCTAATCCTATTGTTGATGAGTATAGAAAATATCTGGTTTCTTGTATTGTCCAATACTATATATGTTCAGTTCATACTCAATTTTGAGATCGTACGATAGCAATTTTTCTCAGTGATTGTCTGTGTAGTCAGCTTTACTAATTTTAGAAATATCAGCTCTGGTGTATCATTTTGTTTATTTTTTTCGAATTACATATCTTGTTTAGTTATCGGCTAGACAAAATTCGTCCCTCTGACAATAGTAATCAACGTTTGAAAACGGTATTTGTTGAGTGAATGGTTTAAAAGCAGAACACTAACATGTTTGAAATTCTTACAGTTATGAATGAATTATCAACGAAAACGCATAGATTAGGAATGAAGTTTCGTATTTGATTGATCACTGGGTGATGATCAATATCATGTGTGTCAAGTTCTTCTTAGTGCAATGTGATCATTAGACTAGGTTACTTGACATTGAAGTTTCGTTCATTTTTTTCAACATATGGAATCGATTTACAGTTCTTTGAGTCATCTAAATGTTTTTATAACATAAAATTTAGTAAGAATTTGTTTAAAAATTACATTTTTTATTATTTTTCGATAATAGTTTATTTACTCCTGTAGGTTAGCGCGTAAACAATGCGGCAACATATTTGTTAATTAAGCATACCTTTCTCAATAAAATTTGAGCTGCTATAGATTCAGTCCTCAGAGTGAAGCGCATTTTGATTCAAGGATAATGTTTGTAACACGTTTTCTTGCTAGATTTTAAAAACAAGAAAATGAATTGTTATGATTGGTAGTTCCGAATGCAAATGAATCTAAATTATATTATCTTACTTGTGATATAAATATTTTGACTTGTAACCAACAGGAAAATCACTTTGTTACAATTTTTCGTAGGTAGATCTAGAAAAAATCTGGAATAATGTATTGGCTGTGTATGTCATTACCTCTCAACACGTCGCTGCATGTATTAACATTAATAAACAGATCAACTAAGTTTGAATTATAATACGGAAACATTCTTAAGTCACTAGTCATTGACCTAGTTTTAGAACAGCTCATAGGGTTTCGTTTAGATGACGTAACCGTTGGGACTAAATCATAAGAATATTGCGATATATTTTACTAATAGTAAAGAATAGGGGTCTCGTAATATCATCAATTGCCTGAATCCGGAAGTGCAGACTGTCGGGTTCTTACTCAGCAACATCTAGTTATTGAACTTGCCGCTTTGTTAAAAAGTTTACATTTGATTATTTTCATGGTCTTGAATGTATATACAATCATAATCTAGGACTAAATATCTGTTCATTATTTGGAATTTTTCTATAATGCTTGTCTCAATATTCATTCAAGCATAAAAATTCACCCTTTTAGCCAGTAATTACTAGTAGTAAGTGCCATGTCTTCTGACTAACTTTTCCTCAGGCTTCGCCTGCTTTTATGTACAAAATATCGACAGCAACTTGGAAATAAAAGCACTTATTCTGTTGTTTGTATACTTTTTTGTTCGTTTGTGACCATGAGTCCTTTTTCATTCCTTGAATTTTTTTTAAATAGTCAGTTAATATTACAATATGTTGATATAAATGTCATCGATTTTCGGACATGAATAATTCCGATTCGGTATAAATTTGTTTCCATTCATCAAAGAGTTCACTTAATTCAGTATAGAGCCAATTACATGCATCGTAAAATAATAGAAAATACTATACTATTACAGTGTTAAGTTAAATAATGTTCAGCTGTTACCGTTGATTTGAATAATGTTTTACCAACTATATAGTACAACCTACTGCTTTGTGATTTTCATAGATAAACATTATGGACAAATTGTATTTACTGAAAAATGATAAAATGTTTTGTTGCGTAATGGTATGCTGATTTTGAAAAAGAAAACATTTGAAACTGAATTTCATCAAAGCCAGTGAATAATAAATAGATATTTCATTTTGTAATCTCAAGTGCTAATGAACATGTTAAAGATCTCTATTACGATACTCTAATGAATTGGAACGGACTAGATTGGTCAATATTAATAATCAATAGTATTGTTGTGGAGATTGTTGAGTTTTACATAATGACATTTCGATTATAAATTAACATTGGGTAATTGGAAGAAAGAGGATTAATCATAATCAAAGTAATTATTCGAAAATCAAGTTGTTACGTTGCATGATATATAAAGAAGAGAAGGAACAGAATATTTTGATGAATGGTCAGTAGAATAGTAGTTATGTAAGAATCAAGAGATGAGTGTTGAGAATAAGTAAAATACAAAAAACAAACAATGGAAAAAGTATGAAGATAGTTTATCAAAGTTCTGTTTTGATTGAGATCATGAGTTGATCAATGTTAGACCACAAATGAAGACCTGGAAAGCTGTTTTGTCCTAGTCTGCGACTCTTCAGCAGTTCGCATACGCGGGACCTGCGTTCTTGTGCGCGAACGCTTAACGCCTAGACCATTGAGCTGGCATCCAACGGTGTTAATGTCTAACTTCAACCAATCCATGATATTACACGACCATCCTTTATTGTTTCCAGTGAGTAACTGCTTCACACCAGACACGTTGAACTGCGCTGATCACGGCTTATCACTAGAACTCCAGGCAATCCATCTTGAAGCTAGACACTAGTGATAATTATCTGTATAGGATTGTGGAGATCGCTATTTTAGTTGAGATTATGAATAATTGCACAATATCGTGGATTGGTAATATTAATAAGATTACTTTCTGTTGTAAATAGGATAGTTAAAATAACCCATTGTGTCACAGAATATAAAAAGAGAATTCAGCGAAGAAAATTCTCTTATCAACGAAATAGTTTACTTAAGCTGACTTAAGACTTATTATTAAAAATGAGGTTACGAAATAATCAATGGGTAAAGGAAGAATATAAAGATGAAAATTATTTTACTGGTCAAAATTACGAAAAATAGTTGTCCACTTGACAGTTATGAAGAAAAATGTCAAACATAAATATAATGATAAAACCTGAATAATAATCATAAAAAATTGTTTAAAGGTAGTAATAATAATTGATTACGGTTTAAAATTACGAAACACTTTTCTTAAGAAGTAGTATAGAAGGAAATTAGGACCAATGAAAGATTAGACGTATCAAGTTTGCACACAGAGTTCAGATTTGAATTGGTGGATTGTCAAGGCCTCAGCAGAACATAAGTTTTTGACTTGACTTCTATTTTGTTCAACTCCTTCGGTTGTGTAGTTTAGTTTAAAGAAACAGGATTAAAGTGTGTATATATATATATACATAGAGAAATGAATGAAGCATTAAGTCAATTAAGCAACTAATATGTGCGTAAGCGGTAAGCAATGCTCAAGCATACATGTTAATACAAGCGAAACAATAGTAAAAGTACAATGGTATAGATTATTGTGACATGCACATTCAGTGATTTTTATAACGACAAAGTAAAAACCATTTTTTTCTTATTTGTCACACTTTATATGTAACCACATTTATATTCAATATCTATCGTTTCTTTGTATCAATGGTAAAGAAACGGATAAAATTGTGTGGCTATTTACATATATATATGTATATACTACCGCGGTTGTTGAAAATATAAAACTTTATCTCCGCCGTCTGTTCTGCTTTATTGGCCACAGCTTTTGATTGATTATGATAGTGTTGTAACATCCTTTTAGTCCTTCCCACACTACGTTGGAGTTTTGGCCTATGATCATTATTGACTAATACTACTGGATTTAATCTTTCCCATTACGCCGTTAGTGCCACCATGTGCAGAGGAATCTTCATTATTAAAGCGAACTCATTTGTGGTTGTTATCTCAGAGAGTAGCTTACAAGTAACATTCATTTCATAACAACTGTTATCATTTTGTTGTTTAATATATCATTTATATTGTAACTGTAATTTGTTACCTTTTGCTTTACTTGTAGACAGACAATTAGGGTTGTAGAGTTAACGTTTTTTGGTGTATTATTGGTAACTTTGCATCTTGTTATATCTTGAATAAGCTCTTGTGCTGGGATCCACCACAAGATAAATTCTTATTGTACGAACGACTCTGCCTGTTAAACAAGTTAATAAAAAGGCTTAACCAAATGAAATGTGAACAAACTCAAATGTATATGAGCTGCTCAAAGTTATCAATACGAATGTACAGCTTAACTAAATGATTTTATCGAAAAGATTTTCCTCTTTGAATTCTTTTTATTTTTATTCAAATTAGCACTGCTGAAGAGTCCCATACTAGGACGAAACGGTCGTTCAATGCTTCCAGGTTTTCCATGGTGGTCTAGATACAATCGACTCATGAATTCAGCTATTAAAAAATT